GACTATGCTTTAACTCTTGCTGGAATAAAACTATTTAATTAGCACTTGCATCTGCTTTTACTGAGTGTAAGCTACACAACACTTATCTCACATATTTTGCCTGCCTGCCTGACTGCCCTGCAGATCTTGCTAGGGTATATCCCTAACACTGGTTATGGGCCTAGCTGCACAGTCAGACTAACCAGGATATAACAGGCTTATATAAAGTGAGAGTTAGTGTAGTTACACAATACTGTAAACAGACAGCTGTGTTTTATTAATTATAGTTTAATATCCAGAGAAAGATGGCACAAGTCAATTTACCAAGTTTGTCTCTAATATCCAAACTGGATGGAACAAACTATGTTTCACGGTCTATGAAATGCAGCCTACTTCTACACAGAGAAGGTTTGTGGAATATAATTCAGAACCCACCAGAGGTAGATGCTTGGGATCCAGAGGATGAAGATGATGCCCAGAAGATACAAGAATATAAACTGAAAAATGAACAAGCTCTCTGTATAATAGGACTGACACTCTGTGACCAGCAGCTTGTCCATATTCGTGGAGAAGAAACAGCTGCTAAGTGCTGGGAGAATTTAAAGAAGATTTATGTTCAAGACAGTGTAGGAGCTCATATAAATCTTACACGGAAGCTGTTCAGAACACATCTTCAAAAGAATGGAGACATGCTGACTCATATAAACACTATGAAGAGAATTTTTCAGGAGCTGCATGAAAAAGAGCTAATCTTCACTGAACTGCATCAGGTTTATATAATTTTGTCTTCATTAGATCAGAGCTATGACGACTATGTAACTTCATTGGAAGTGCTGCCAAAGGATAACCTCACATTAACTGACATTACTGGCAGGTTAATTGAAGAAGCCAGGAGAAGGCTTGAAAGGGATCAACTCAGAAGGGAACAACCACAAGAAGAGGAATTATCTTCGTCAGCCTACACAATTAGAAAATGTTTTAATTGTGGAAGAAAAGGACATTTGGCTAGATTCTGCAAGAAAGAAAAATGCCAAAATGCCAGCCAGAATGCTAAAAGGCATCAAAGGGATAAAAAATGCTTAGAGTTAGCCATGTATAGCAACAAAACTGTGAACAATAATAATTTTTGGGTTGTAGATAGTGGAGCATCGCACTGCATAACAAAAGATAAGAAAAGATTTATTAAGATGTCCACGAGTTCACAGCAGATATCATTACCTAATGGGTGGAAACTGAAAGCAAGAGGTCAAGGTACAGCATATTGTTCTTGCATAAAAGAAAATGTAAAAATGTTATATGTACCACAACTTAAGTTTAATTTGCTTTCAGTTAGAGTTTTGATTAAACTAGGTTATGTAGTTACCTTTAAAGGAGAAAACTGCATAATAGAAAAGGAAGGTAAAAAAGTGACTGCAACTTTAAAAGGTGAATTGTATGTGTTAAATGATAATCAATTAGAGGTGGCTAACACAGTGTATAATAATGTTAAACCTCATGATGAATGCATACATTTGTTACACAGACGTTTAGGGCATATAAATTTTAAAATGCTCAAGCAAACTGTTGAACTGTCTAAAGGTATAAAACTGAAGCCTTGCAGTAAGTATTTGCACTGCAATGCTTGCAGTCAAGAAAAAAGCAAGGTAATACCAGCAAATAGAATTAATGGATTTAAGACAAAGGAGCCTCTAGAGGTCGTATTTGCTGATATTATAGGTCCTAAAAAACCAAGTGTGGGAGGTGCTCGTTATATATTAAGTATAATGGATCATTACTCTAGATATGGTTTCTGTTATTTAATGAAGAGTAAAATGGAAACATATCAGAATTTCTTTAATTGGTTGAAGTTTGCAGAGAGAAAAACTAAAAGGAAACTAGTAACTCTTGTATATGATAATGGTACGGAATTTATAAATAATAAATTCCAAAATAGACTGAAGATGGCAGGTGTAGAACATAAAAAGTCTGCACCATATAGGCCACAACATAATTCCTTTATAGAAAGGCGAGGCCAAACACTGCAGGCAATGGCTCGAACTATGTTGTCAGATTCAGGATTACCTGAGAATTTGTGGGGAGAAGCAACAATGTGTGGCAATCATATATTAAATAATGTTGTTAATGCAACAACAGGTGAATTACCATTCACACGGTGGCATGGTAGAAAACTTGACCTAAGCTATATGCACACATTTGGAGCACCAGCATGGGTGCATATTCCCACACAACTGAGACATAAGGGACAGCATAGGGCTAAAAGATTATATTTTGTAGGTTACGAATCAAACCATAGATCTTACAGGTTCTGGGAAGAGGGCACAACTAGAATTTATTGTAGTGCTAGTGCTCAATTCCTGGAACATGTAGGATGGCACAAATTGGAACAAGATTCGAATAAAAGTGTAATTATAGAAACCTACAGGGGCCCGAGCCATCATAATAGTGATGAAGAAAGTCCAATTGAAGAGAAAGTAAAGGAAGTGAAAATAGGACCAATTAAAGAAGAAATAAGTGAAGAAGAGATAGATAACCAGGAACAGGTGATAGATAAGAGTCCACCTGTGAGTCCTGTTCTACCTAGACGGTCAACACGAGTGAGTAGACCACCTGATAGGTATCAGGCAAGTATGGTTTGCCAGATTAGTAAAATTCCAACCACTGTGGAAGAACTAAAATTGTATACTGCAAAGGATCAGGAGAACTGGCATACAGCAATGCAAAAGGAACTGAATTCATTAAGACAGATGGGAGTCTATGAGAATGCTAGATTACCTCCAGGTGAAAAGTCCATTGGATGTAAATGGATATTTAAATTAAAAACAGGTACAAATGGGACTGTTACCCATAAGGCTAGGTTGGTAGCTCAAGGATTTAATCAAACTGCATGTGATTATGATGAAGTGTTTGCACCAAGTCTAAAAGCAACAACCTTGAGAGCAGCTTTAGTGTGGGCAGCTAAGAAAAACTATATCACAAATCATTTAGATGTAGAAACTGCCTATCTGCATGCACCATTGCAGCACACTATATACCTAAAGAAACCTGTAGGGATTAAGGATGATAAAACTAATAATGACTGTTGGAAACTTAAAAAGAGTCTCTATGGATTAAAACAATCTGGTTACGAATGGAACCAATATATTGTTAAGGAGTTAAACAATATAGGGTTTAAAGCAGGTTTAGCTGATCCATGTTTATTCAAAAGAGAGAAAAATGGAATAGTGTCATTATTATTGTTGTTTACAGATGATATTGCTTTAATTACAAAAACTAATAATGAAGCTACTGAAATAATATCATTATTAGGTAAGAGGATAAAATTAAAGCAATTAGGAGAGATAAAACAGTATCTCGGATTGACAATAAATAAAACCAATAGTGGCTATAAGATATCTCAAGAGGATAAAATTTATCAATTACTAAAAAAATATAAGATGGAACTTTGTAAACCAGCAAAAACTCCAATGAGTCAGGAATTTTGCCGCACTGATGCTCAGAGTTCAAAATTCGATAAGACTATCTATCAGTCGCTAATTGGCAGTCTATTGTCAAGGCCAGATATTGCCTATAGCGTTAATCAATTGGCTCGATTCGACGCTGAACCCGCTGAACGACACTGGCAAGCGGCAAAACATATCTTAAGATATCTTAAAAGGACAATGCACTATGCATTGTATTTGGAGCCAAAAGATGATTTGATTTTAAGTGCATATGCTGATGCAAGTTTTGCAACAGATATAAACACTAAGAAATCAACTTCAGGAATGGCTATACTACTAGGAAAAGCATTGATTGGTTGGAGGTCAATTAGACAGCAACACAAGTGTGTCCACAATGGAAGCAGAATTTTCATGTCTATCTTTATTATGTACTGATTTAATTCTGTATAAACAGTTGTTGTTGGATATGGGATTAACTGTTAATGATTCCATTGTTGTGTATGAGGACAATCAAGCAGCCATACAGATAACTACAAATATTGCTGTAAAAACGGGATCTAAGCATACAGATCTTAGATATCTGAATGTAAGACAATCTGTAAAAAATGGTTTAATAAGATTGGAATATTGTATGACTGAGCAAAATATTGCTGATCAGTTCACAAAAGCCCAAGGAGCAGTCAAACACAAAGAGAGTTGTGATGACTATGGGTTAAAGTTGTAAATATATATATTATTATATTACCCAAAAGGGGAGAATGTTAGGTATAACATAGTTCACCTAACGTATTTTGGGTAAGATAATATATATAAACTATGATTGTTAGTTTAAGTGTGTGTCACTTTAACTGCAAAGCATGTAATTTTGGGTGTGGTGTGAAACCACCATAAAAGGGAGCAAGACAACCTGATTGATTGCTGATGATTCACTGACAGTTTGCTGGCAATTAATGACAATTACTGGATTAGATTACGTTGATGGTTCGTTAGCTGTGTTTTTCCCCTACTGAAGAGTTGCTGATAAGGAAGAGAGGAGTTTCTGAGTTTTTGCATATCTCTCTACTGCGAGGAGATATATCACCGGACTGATATTTGTAAGTGTACTGACCTCTCTTTTTCGACACTGGAATTTGCAAATGAATAATCCCTGGACGGACTGAACTAAGTGAATGATATATGGACTGTTTTGACTATGCTTTAACTCTTGCTGGAATAAAACTATTTAATTAGCACTTGTATCTGCTTTTACTGAGTGTAAGCTACACAACACTTATCTCACATATTTTGCCTGCCTGCCTGACTGCCCTGCAGATCTTGCTAGGGTATATCCCTAACATTGGATTGTATTTTGCTGCCTTCTTTTCTATATATAGTATATCTACCCACCCACCTCAATTGTGTTACCAATAAACATCTACACATTGACAAACACAGAAAAGGGGTGTCCATTAAAAGTTGTTTTCTTATAGTTTGGTTTGATCTTTGTGGTGATTAAAAATGTTTTTAAAAAACAGAAGAGTCCTTGCGCTAGAACAATTATTCTACTCAAAATGCCATTATTAATATTGGGCATTAGCTTACCTCTTCCATAAGAATTATGAAGGTAGTGTTGTAGCCTTGTTCTGTAACCAACTTGCCAGTGGATGTGAGAATATGTAACCCATGGGGAGCTTTGCCTGGACACTGTTCAGGCTTGGCTGCATACTTTTCTTGCAAACCATCTGTGCAGTTATTAGAAACAATCCTCCGATACCTGTGGAATTTTATAATTTCATGTTTTAAAATTTCACAAAACTCAAATTTCATAGTTTATGTATTCAGTTGAAAAAATGGAAAGGGAGCCTATATTGTTTGCAATATATCAAACACCCATATCAAACATTTGAAAAATAACTTCAGGTGCTATTCAAAATTAATTAAGCTGTTCATTGGAAGTTTACCTATTTTCATGTTTGTTATTCCCTTGTTATGATGTCATCTCACCACATCTTTACTGATGTGTTCTTTTACATTATTGTACTTTAAAAAAAAAGAAAAGAAAAAAATAGGAGACAGATGAGCTTTTATTTCACTAAGTTCTAATAAAAGTTGTACTTTTCCCTTCCACCAGTGTATTTCCATTTGAACTAAATCAGAATTCCATGACAACATGTTGGCCACTTGACTTAGAAATGTCTTCAGACTGCCCTGGCTCAATGACTTTGAAATGAAGGTATGCACCATCCTCTATAGCCAGCAACAAGTAGCAGAGTAAAATCCACAGGATTCCTTTATCCTTTTAAAAAAAATTCCATTTGAATTAAATCTGGCACAAATGTGCATCTATTTTATTTTGCATCTCCATGAGGTTGCCCTTAACTTGACCCTAATCATAGTAAAACAGATTTAACTGTTTCTTAGGTTAACTGGTATTAAAAGAGTATTTCCCTTTCAGCCAACAGTATCCAATGATATGCTTCAACAGTCATAATGCTAGAAGCAAAATCAAGTGATGAGTGGCATCATAAAGGCATTTATTGGCTATTTGGTGCGGATATATGCCTACAGTTTGGTTCCTGATTTTCTCTCTGTACCATCTTTCTGCTTATATCTCCCTAAAAAGCTGAACATAGAAGCTCTGTGTGGATGGCTCTGGATTTCTAGAAGGCAGACAAATTAGGGAGAGGGGGGATTCATAACATGGGGATTCCTTTTGTGTTCCATTTACAGCCCTATTCTAACTATGTGAACTAGGTTCTTGCTACAAGCTCATATCTACTCACTATATGAATAATAGATGTCAACATTTTACATCCTCTCTGGAATGGTGAAAGCCATCAGCAGCCAGCAAATTTAATAAGTGGTCTATCAGTATTGGGCAACAATGCAGGTCTGCTCATTTGCAGTAAAGCATTCAGTAAAGCAGTAAGTGTTTAAGATTTATGGCACTTTGGAAATTTTAGCACAAAGCTGAAATAGCACAACAGTGAAGCCACAGTATGAACCTGCTCCTCTATGCCCTCTGAACAGAACACAGAGGAAGCTGAAAGTTGGCATATGTCCTTTTTATAAAGAACGGAATGGTTTTGAAACAATTCTAAATTAAAATATTTATGTTATGTGATCTTAAAATAAACAGATATTAAAAATAGTTTCTAAACAGATCTTTCGTAATTTTGCTTGGATTACTCTGTTGTGTTATGCCATTAACTTCCATCTGGAGAGTATTTAATGTAGTTTTACTTTCTCTAGCATCATTTATGTCAAAATTGTGCAATTTCCATGCCCCAAGGTTTCATGTAGTCCCCAGGAAATTAAGATGCAGGTACCAATAGCTCTATAAAAGTCTTGAATTGTAATTTTAATGTGATAAAATGGAGGAATATTAATTACATGGGATAAATCATGTTAATAATGTAACAACTAAAATTTAATTGAAATGTAATCTAAAGTAAAACAAATTTAGTCTGTGTCTTGGTCTTGCTCTTTATTTTGCTCTCATCTTTCTTTTGACCAGCATCTTCCAATTAAAGGTAAGATTCAGCCCACTAGAAAGTGAATACATCTATTTTAATGCTCATCCTTTTTTCTTTTTTTCTTTTTGCAGGATTTCTGCAAAAGATACACTAAATACAAGCTGTAAACTCTGCAAAAGAGACATATATCAAAGGATGTTTCTACTTACCCAGTGCTGTTCAAGTAGCTCTGGCCAAGACTGCATTCTTTCATCCGAGAGGATGGGTTGAACCAGAATGCTGGGATGCATTGATTATTACTGTGTCTTTCATAACCATAGTCACTAATAGAATAATTTTAAAAATACATATATATTTATCTCATCTTCCTACCACAGAGAAAAGAGAAATACATAAAGATTGCTGTTCTCACAAGAACTTTGTGAAATGGACTTAAAAAAACTTGCCAAAGGCTATTGCATGAGTTTGTTAATTCAACAAAAAATCATCAAGGCTTCTGGGTCCATAACTAATGCAAGAATAAACACATACTATGTCTCATTTACATATTTCCACATTTGCATGTGTATATGGATTTTGTTCCATCCTACAAAAAATTCTACTTCTGTTAAGGGAGAGAGTTAGAATAGCAATATTTGAAGAGGAAGCCCAGTTCTAACCATTAACTGCTGCCTAATATGTCTAACTAGAATCATTCATAATACTCATAACATTTAAACTAAAATCTGATGCTTCAAGAATTGTCATTCTAGGATAGAATGACATTTCCTTCCAAAAAAAAGACACACTGTTTGCAATATTTTGTTACTTTGAAGACTAAGCAGATCTTCAACACAATTCATGAAGGACTGGGTGAACAAACATGGCACAGGCACTTTCCCAAGCAATGTGAGGCCTCATTTATAGTAAACAAATCAACAGCTGGATGCTGTTCAGCTTGCTCTTTTGCAGCTTGTTCCTGCACTTGAAGATCTTGGGACATCTGCACAGGTATTACAGATACCTAGAACCTTAATCCAGCTTTTGCAAGTAGTGGAGGAGGCTATAAGATGGCTATGAGTGGAAAGCTCTTTGTAATACTGAATCCGAGCTGCCTCACACATGCCTGATAACATCTTGGTATGCTGGATTCATTGGGTTATTTTTATAGAGAGAGACAATTGAGAGAACCCCAAGTAAGAATACTGAGTTCTCAGAGAAAAGACACTATAAATGTAGCAATAAATGGCTATAACAGCATCATACGCTGCCCCCCAAAAAATTGAAGGAATTTTGAAAGCAATTTTTCTTACATCAAATTTAATGAGAAATGATAGCAAAAATACAATTATTTTCAGCAAAGCACTAATGTTAAGTAAATTTGCTTTCTATTTCTCTGCCCCCCTCCCCCCTCCAGGAGAGAGAGAAGAAGGGAGGGAGGGAAAAAGTAATTGGGTCTATGAAGTTATTTGCCACTTTTCAAGTTCTCATATTCAAAGAATCTGCTGTATCGATGTAAAAGGTCTGTCTAAAATTTATATGAAGTATATCTTTTAAATCACCCAAATAACTGGCATTTTAAAATCCACTTTCTGGTTATTTTTGGATTGAAGTTGTAATTTTTTTCTGTTTGTGCTTTTTGCCATTTACTGGTAGATGGTATAATGGTGATTATTATATTGTAATTTTACAACAGTGAACACTGAGACCTAAATAAATGAATATATATCTTTCTAAAAATATTCAGTGAAATAGTCATTGGAGCTATTCTGTAAAGGCATAATCCATAACTACTTCATTAAATAGAACAATATTGATGCACTATCTAATTATGCAAAGTATTTAGAGAAGGCTTAAATCAGAGCAGTTTTTTCATAACAGCCTTCCATGGATGACAAGAAAATAACAAAGGATCATGGATTATCTCACACAGGTATGTGAACCATGGTAGACATTGTAGTTAAATTAATTGTTAAATTTCTAGACTGCTTTTAATGCTTTGGTTTTTCTGACATTCAAATTTAATCATTCTCAGTAGGTCACCCTTGCACATTTTAAGTATGCCTTGTAGTAACTTAGTAATTAAAATTGTTCATGAGGGGGAGTCACATGTTGCCTCAAAGAACGAAAGAGCTGCATTAATATTAAATAATATTAACGACAACATAACTGAAGGGCCTGAAGGCTGCAGACTTGTTCATTAACTTCTGGTAAATGTATATTAAAAACTCACATACTGCCCACCTTCGCACTTGAAAGCCCTGGGGTTTGTATGTTAAAAATTACTGAGTCCAGCTGCTGCTTCAACTTATTGGAAGAAGCTTCCCGGACAAGGGTAAATAAAGTACTAAAGGGAAAATGAAAACTTCAACCAAGAAATGTAGAAAGATTTCATGATTCATTTTTCTGTGAAGCTTGAAAACAAAATCTGGATTATTTTCTGATGTTGTGTAATTGTACAATAATTTAGAAGTTATTTTTCTCCTCCAACTCATTCCTCAAGAGAGAAGTGAATTTTTAGAAGATACTACTTTGTAGACTTTGGAGAGGCAGAAGGGAGTAATTAAGATTTCTTTTTGAGTATAAAATGTAACTTATTTTGCCAATTACTGGTAGAAGGTATTCAGACTGGGAAAAAGTCTGTGCAAGCATTTCTATGAAAAAAGAAACAAGTAGTAATGGACAACCTCTTGATACAATATACCAAAGAAAACAATTCACTGAGTTATTTCTCAAAACCCAATCTGAGGGAGAATAAATCACAGTTCAAAACTCAATTGGAACAGAGTTATCTACACTCTTGCTGCATACTATTTTTGTGCTAAGAAGAATCAGGCTGAGCAATGTAAGTGTAGTTTGATGCCAAGCATGAAAAAAAAAGGATTCTAAGAAAAGTTTATAATATAGAAGCTGGCTAAGGTGACTCATGTCTTAATTACTGTCTAGTAAGACTACTGTAATATGCTTTATTTGGGACTGCCTTTAAAGAATATTTAGGAAGTACAATTAATTCCAAAATGCAGTAGTTCATATCCTTTGGGGCTTCCAGCACTGAAAGGACAATTTTCCAATTCGCAGACCCTGCATTGGATGTGAATTTTTAAATGTGCTGGTGTTGACCTATAATGGCTTTATGGCTTGGTGCCTGGATACCTCAGGGTGATCTAGTCCATCAATAATTGGTCCAACTAATTTGATCTCTAATGAAAAAACTGCTGTAATCCTACTGTTTGATGAGGGTCTGAGGTAAGATGGTGTGCTTCTCCGTGACAGAGTAAACATTGATAAATAACCCCCTTGTGGAGATCAGACTGGTTCTGTCTTTCTTGGTTGTTTAGATGCTTTTAAAAATTGAATTGTTTCAGAAAGTTTCCTTCTGATATGAATATTACAATGTTTAATTTTATTTAACTTATTTACATTTATTGCTACACATTTTAAATAAATTCATAATTATGTTATTCCTACCATGGATATTTTATTTTAGTTTGTCTTCATTTTTTGTCTTCTATTTTTCTTATCTTCATTTTAAAGTGCCTTGGTTTTATTTTATTGGAAACAGTTGCTGGGGTGCATCCACAGTTTCACTGTAATTGTACAATGACAATAAAGTTCTTCTAATTCTAGTTTAAACTGCTGAGATTTTCTTTGGATTGTGGTGGCTTACAAATATGTTTAATTGATAAAACTTACCATTCAAAGTCCCACTCAGCACAGATGCATGGTTCTGAAACCACTGTTCTTGAGTAATCTCTAGATAATGCGCACCACGCCCCTGATTTACGTTTCTTATAGATCTTCCTTTCTCCCATGACACAAGGTTCGCCCTTCAATGCAGAAGAATACTGCTTTGGAATAACATGTACTCTTCTGTACAAGTTAATTATACAAGGTGCACAGATACTTAACTTTCTATACTAGAACTTCTTATGAAGATTGAGTCCTCACACCATCATTATTATAATAATAAGACCCAAGTACAATTATGTGGGAACTGAAAGTATAATGAAATGTAAGGATAATGGAAAAGATTCTGTTTATTTTCTGATGAAATTTTCCCTATCAATCCTTTATGTTAGCCCACAATGAGAAACAATAGTTCCCCTTTTCTAAGTCTGGGTAATATTTTTGGCAAGTCTCCCCTTAATGTCTCATTCCTTCCTTCCACAAGATGAGTTCTTCCTTTGTCTACAGTTTGGCTATAAGCCAAATACAGAAAACAACCCCCTGATACATTATTTTCCTTCTTCCCTGTACTTCCATTTCATTTATGTGGTACTTCTGAAATTATGTCACTCATAACTTTGTTATTCTGACCATTCAGCCCAGATAGATAACTAAAGCAATTATTTGTCTAGTTACTTTTATAGTATCTTATTCAGACTTGCATTGCTTCTCATCTTTCAATCTAACTAAATCCTGTGATTTACATTCATTAATTTATAACAACACTCACAACTAGGAATAGTAGGTCATCTGGGATACAGAAACAGACACTAGTTGATGTATTCCTACCTGGTTGTGTAAATGCCATGACTGGAAATCATCCTTGGTACATCTTCTGCTAAAGATAGATTTATAATCCACTTTTACTAGTTGCCATTCAGAACGGAGATTGAGATGGCCAAAGATTCTGAATATTGGTGGAAGATTAAAGAAAAGTAAAAAAAGAGAGAAAGAGAGAGGAGAAGAAGAATATATACACAGATTAACCCCAACTAACAATTTTCCATACACAAAACATGTATTTGAAAATAGTTTTGTTACTTCAATTTACAGAAACAAAGAAAAGGTCCCAATTTTTGGTATCCCCAAATTTGGAAGAAAAATTGAATTAGATTTTTTACTTTATTTATTACTCTATAGACATTCTTTGATCCAGTTCTGCAGACTCGTCTCTTCTATAAAAGGGTTGATCTATGATTCCTGGAAATTTCATTCACTATGGCCGATACTTATGGTGCCGAGAAAAATGTAGTTTTAGATTGTAAAAGAAATACTGGATTTTTTAAAATCTTGACATATTTATTTCCACAGACAAAAATATTCTGGCAACTTAAACCCATGAGTTTACTTTGATTTTAATGATGAGGAAATTATAGTTGCTTGATAGATTTTTCTTTTTGCTATAAGATTATTAGAAATGATAAAATACCTGAATTCCAGTTAATCCTCCCTCTCTAACTAAAAATGCTTTATTATATTTGGAAACAGAAAACTATTAGACTAAATTTGCTTTATATCCCTAATTGAGATGGCTAGATAATAAGCTCAATTTCCTGATAGATAACCAGAAACTCTTAATTAGGATATTAAATAAACACTTAACATTAATAGATAAATTTTGCTGGATGAATTACAAATGTTCTATCAGCAGTTTGATATTATAAGATTAGAAGCAAAGGGCACTTGTGAAATGTTTATTATTGTTAGTTAGATGATATAGTTAAAAAAAACCTTGGGAAAAAATCTTTGGAATTTGGATTATGTGAGAATAATTCAAAGAATATCATGAATGAAAATAAGTACTGGATAGTATTAGGAATGCAAATCTCAAGAGTATCTCTATTAACTTTCCTCTCCATCTAATTATCACATAAATGTGGATAACTGGAGATGCATTAAAATATCTGTGCAATGCTTTTGAAAAGAACAACTGCTCTGGCTATGTGTGAAAATGGATGTGCTCCCATTTCTCTTATGTAGAACATTTTGTTTACAGACAGTGTTGTCATCACATAGCCAAATCCCATTAGTTTCTTGGCAAAATGATTTCATAATCTTAATTAAATAATCTTTGTTGGAACAACATGCCCTTCAATAAATGGAAAGAACAATTGGGAGTTGTGGATCTTCAATGAAAGTCATAGAACAATGGATAAGGCAGGTAAGAAAAATATGCAAAAATATTAAGTTGCTTTCAGATCCCTGAAAATTAAAATAGCAAGTTTATGGTGAATGTGAGCACCGCTACTTTTTAAAGCAATAACATTAGTGATAAAACTCCCTAAAGTACAAAATATAAGTTTACACTTTTCTACATATATGGGTCCATTCATATTTGGCAGATTAAGTAAATCACTCATATTTGAATATTCTGGGTATAATTCAAGATTATATTACCATATTTGTTTACTTTATTTATTACATTTTTATCCCAACTTTATTGTTTTTATAAATCTCAAGATAGAAAATATACCTAATAGTCCTTCTTCCACCTAGTTTCCACATAACAATAACCTTGTGAGGGGGTTTGATGAAGAGCACAATTGGCCCATACTCACCCAACTGGCTATCATATCTAAAGAAACATTATAATTCAGTCTGCTGAACAATTTCTACTTTGCTTTCCTTTCAAGTAAGCCTTAAAGATCTGACTTTACTCCTAGGCCTTGGGCTTGGGTGAGTGCAGAGTTCCTTTGGATTGTTGTATGTGTATGAAGTAACTTGTGGATTGTTCTGTTTTGGACTATTGTTTTCTCATATTCTTTTTCCATTGTTGTTCACCTCACATAGTTATTAGGAGTTGGCAAACCTTACAAATATAATAAATAAACTCAGAAAAAAATGCGTACTGGCTATATAGTTAGATATAAGATTACTTTCCAAATAACTTCCCTATTACTTTGGCTTTTATTCACATTTTACTTTAATAACATTCAAAACTTTGCAATTATAGGTTCAAAACCCATAATATTTTTAAATTATTATTTCAATTGATTCACAGTCAAAATTTACACATATAATCTAAAAGTTGGTATTGAATAAGAGAAGTAAATTATTTAATATATATTATATAATACACCTAAAATCTCAACTCACTGATGTGTTACTAAAAACATTTACTTTTAATAGCCATAGTAAAAAATCTGGTGTCACCTCTGCAATTTTAGGATTTCCATCTACAAGCAAAATTTTAACAAAGAGATACTCAAAGGTATCTTCTTCTGGTTTTGATTTAAAACAGGCCAAATAAATTCCTGCCAAAAACTTTCATAAAATTCACAAAACAAAACAATATGATCCACCATTTCAAGATTGATATCATTAGAAGGATAAAATCTTTGACAGGTGAGGATTTGAAATCTACCATACAGCACAGGGATTTCCAAACCATGGCCCAAGGGTTGTATGTGGCCCTGGACAGTTTCCACAAGCAGCAGCCCCACAATGCAGCCCCACAAGATCATAAACTTTCAACATCATTAGGTGATTTTATATTACAAAACTATATTAAATATTTTATATGCAGACCAAGACAATTTCTTTTCACTCAATGCACCTCAGACAAACCAAAAGTTTAGACAACCTTGTTATAGCATATTCAACAGCAACACATTTATCTGGCTATTGAAAAGGCTATTTTGTATTTAGTTAAATATAAATCATTTAGATATTTTAGAAGGATAAAAGGTATATCTGTAATTAATTCTAAAAGTTATAGATAAACACAAAACCATCAATTTGTTTCTGAACTAACTCATACTTCTTCTTAAATACAATGAAATTCTAATGTCATACTCCTGGGAAAATAAATAATACGAATCATTGCCAATCAACTAATCTTTGTTTCATCACTTTAAATTGCATATAGCAACAAAATATTCATTTTGGGTTTCCTAAAGCAAATATTCCTTGGTTTTAAAAATATATATTTGCAAACAAAAGTTAATAATGGTTAGTCAACCTTTGTTTTTAAAACAAAGAAAGAACATGGTGGTGCAGTGATTAGAATGAAGCATTACAAGCTAATTCTGCTGACTGCAGGCAGTTTGATTCTGGCTCAAGGTTGAGTCAGCCTTCTATCCTTCTGAGGTGGGTAAAACATGGACCCAATTTGGTGGGGGCAATATGCTGACTCCAGGGGTGGGATTCAACTTTTTTAACAACTGATTCCGTGGGTGTGGCTTAGTTGGCAGGCATAGCTTGGTGGTCATGTGACTGGCTGGGCATGGCCAACTCAACATCACTCACATCAAGGCACGCATCTCCTCGCCTGGTCTCTCGTGACTGTGAGGATGCTACAACAGTCGTAAGTGTGAAAAATGGTCATAAGTCACTTTTCATTGGTCACTCCACACAAGCAAAGTACCAGCAAAGGAGTGTGGGGGAGGGGACTCCAGAGAAGTTCCAAAGAAAGGAAGTCTACTCCTGCCAAGAATGTAATAAGGGTTAATGGAGAGGCAGTTTCTGTAAGCAACACCAGAATGTTTCCTTCCTGCCTTCCTTACAGGATTAGGCCAGTAATTTTCTAACAACCGGTTCTCCAAACTGCTTAGAATATTAACAACCGGTTCTAATGAATAGGTGTGAACTGGTAGAATCCCAGTCCTGGCTGACTCTGTAAACTGCTTACAGAGGGCTGTAAAGCCCTGTGAAGTGGTGTATAAATCTAAGTGCTATTACTGTTGTCCAGTTTCCAGGAACATAACAGAATTTGGGGCACTTAAAAGAAAACTTTAAAATTTTACTTGCACTTGGGCTACTTTGTTAATTGGAAGTATAATCCAAATCAGAGCTCCATATAAAATTTGAAATGTAATTTTGCATAAAATCATGTATTGCTGCAGGAACAAATCTCCCCATTTTTGAATGAACATATTGAAGCAAGATATCATAGTTGATTTTTGTTTTCAAAGGGACTGTTTTAATAATTAAAATTATATAAATAATTAAATAATTAAAATTTAAATAATTAAAATTCTCTACTTTGTTATCACGTGATTATAAATTTTCCTAGTACTTAAAAAAATTTTTTTTAAAAAAATAAGTTTTATTATAGTTAATTTAGCTCAGAATTTAGTTTTATTAACATAATAAATAGCTACCTTAAAAACAGAAAATAATTTGCCTTTCAGGGAAATAGAATATAGGTAGGCACTGGTTGATTGTTGACCTGTCTTTCTAAAAGTAACAGTTAGTTAAACCAAAATGTTTCTCAAGCTAAGAGATTAATTTTTCATTTAAATTCTTTCTCATTGTTGCATGACATTTCCTGGGACTGATAGCAAACTATTGGCCTATAACTGACAAGGTCTTCTGTTTCTCCCTTCTTTTAATTCTATTCCATTCAAAGGTATTAAACCAGAACTATCTTTTGCAGGTCATTAAAAACAAGTCCCACCAATTTAGATTTTCTTTAAGGAGTTGTAATGATTATATTATTCTGGATGGGACCTTAACAGATTTTATTTTTAAAATAAGTTGAACAATATCTGCCACTGACACTGGTTTCCTCTGTGGAATAGTCAATAGCTTTGACCTGATATTGTTTGCTATAGGTATTTTTTTAGTAGGCAACTGGACTTCCTTGTTTTTCTTTGAAGACATTTTCATGCAAGAAGTCTTTTCAGCTCTGACAGGATAGTGAGAAATGGAAGGATTTATATTCCTTGCAGACAGTTGGTCATTTGCATCCTTTTAGAGGGTCCTTGAAGCACTAGGAGGTTTATCTGTGTTCTCAGGGTCACCTGAGTAGTGCTCCTGGTTCCTTTAGTCTACAATCATCCCAAATTGTATCCAAATTTGATTATTAAAGAATTCCAGTTATTCGTGCAAATATTCTATTATTTTTTTAAAATTATTTTTAATTCTGGCTTGATTATTTTTATAAATAACTAAAAGTCGCAAACA